TCTTTTAAAATCTTTAGAGAATGACTTGAATGGGTTGATTTTGGGGTTAAAATCACTTATATAAGGGTTCTGGGTAAGGCCATAACGACGTAGAATCAATATAAAATAATTAGGAAAATACCCAATCACCCCAACTTACAGCTGACACGAACCCCCGATTGACGCCCTCACGAGCCGTCAAGAGCTTCACGGGTCGTGGTGGCAGCCGTGGTCCTTGATTAGTGGCTTGGGGAAATCCTGACCACCCTCATGCCCACCTTCATGGGTTGTCTGGCCCTTTACGAGCCGTCTAGGGGCTTGTGGGACGAAGTTGGCCCAGGGGTGGATTCTGCCTACCCTCCACAGGCACCACCACAAGACATGGTGCCCTTCACGGCCCGGATGGGGTTCCATGAAGGGTGCCATGGCTCAGGTTTGGGCTAGGGAACTCCCTTTTGAACCCTTTCTTAGTCTTCTTGATTTTCGAGGTGTTACATGTTGAATGGAGGTTACGAGCTTATAATATACCAAATTATAAGAGTGACCAAAGATTTATCTGAGGTTAGCTTGAGTTATGTGACAGTTTAGAATGGTAGTTGAAATATGGTATGTGAAAGGTTGTGTGAAGTTGACTTTGGGTGTGACTTAATAACTTTATCTCAATAGAAAGGTACTAACAGATTTGGAATTGGTTCTATCAGCATGGGGTTGGATCCATATATGTCATGGAATGCTTACATGGAGGAAAGGGGCTCGAAAATTTTAGAGGTTACAATGTGTTTGCTAAGAGGTCTTTGATACTAGTAACAGTTTGAGAGTAAGATAAATTGCCAAAATGGTTATGATGTTTTATTAGTAATGAGAGTGTGGGCTTCAATGGAATAATGTGAAGAGTATGAGTCCAATCATAATGGAGACCAGATGGATGGATTGTAGCTAGCTAAAAATCAAAGAGATGGAGTCAATTGAATGGAAATGTTTGATATAAGTTCTTTGGAGGAAGAATTCTATGTTATTCAACCTTGGTTCGATACATTCTTATGGAACTTGTTGCTCCCAATTGCACACGCAAGTGTACGTGGTCGCGCAAGTAATGTAGTTTCTTTAGAAATGATTTTTCATTCCCAAAGGACTTATGATCAACTTATACTTAGTAACTTAATTCCACAATTTGACAAAAGTAACCTTTCAAAGAGTTTGAATGTTGTTAATTACTACGACGACTTATGAAATAAATAAAGTAACTATTATGAACGACTTCAATCCGATGTTTTAAGCAAGTAAGAGACAATTCCAGGGCTACAGCATGCGTTAGATTTCATTTATCGTATCTCAGGAAATGAACTAATTTAGGTTATCAAGTTACTGATTTACAGGGTTAATTATATGAGTATGGTCTCCCGACCTCTAATCGCCTACTCTAATTAGCTATCTAACTACATCGTTGAGTGGTGATAGGAAGTCCTAATTGGCGAGCATTTATATTTCATCCTATTTCGTAATGAGCTAGGTGTTCGTCCGAGCATCACTCATAAACACAAATCAACTCAACTTAATGGAAGATCAGGCTCTCAATATTCTTTGATCTATCTACCTTAGCCTCTCCCGATTTTAAGAGTAGACAACAGATTTATTTCTATGGTAATCAAGCAGGAAATACTAATACAAGAATATAAAAGTAAATTAAAACGATAACCAAGAATTAATTCAAAAATCTTTAATACTTAACAATCAATCTGTAGCTACAGCCTGGAACAAGGGAGTTTAGACACTCATAATATTCAAAAATCGCAAAATAGAATTGTTCATGCGATTTCCAAAATAAAAAAGAGTTAGAAAATTGAAACCTATTACAAAACATGGGTCTTGCTCATGCACACCAAAAAGTAGTTGAACCCCCACAAAATAGCACTGGGTACCTATTTATAGAAGTTAGGAAAACTATATTCTAAATCTAATCCAACAAGGAGTCCTATTTAATTTAATTTTCGATGGGCACGTCGGACATGGGTTGGGGCACCATGCCAGACAGTGCGCCAGGTAAACTCTTCTGTAGTTTTTGTTGTGGCGCGCCGCATGATGTTTGTGTAATCAACGACACAACTTCCGATGCAAGTGTCTACGATCATGCAATAGTATAATAGCCCAATCAAAGGTTGGGGTCGAGTCCCAAGGGAGTGGTTTTGAGAATTAATAGGAAAATAAAATTAGTTCTAACTAGTCGTAGCTAAAGACATAAACAATTAAAAACATTGTAAATTATAGGGGGACACAAAAAGTGTCAAATATCGATTTGGGGGTTTTGTCACAACTAGAGCAAAAACAGTAAAAATAACAAAGAAATCTATGAATGAGAGGGGATTCTTGGGGTGTGACCGCAAGATATATTGGTATAAATTGTTGGATGCATGCTTATGATAGGAAATTTGCAAGATAATAGTGACTAGGCTAAGCTTTAGATGGAAATAAGTTCCCTCTCGGGCAACTTACCCCATTTCAAATGGGTTCCTCTCGGACACCCACTTGTCGCATGAAGGCCAGCCTACGCCTTACCCCACTCACTCTCTCGAGCTGAGTGTTAGGATATGGGACTAGGGCTCACCCTCTCGGGCTGAACCTCATGTCGACCCACTCCTTAGGCCATCAGTCTAGCGGTCTTGGTTTTGCGACCTCTTTCTCTCAAGCAAGCCGAAAACATACAGGCCAAGAATGAAGAATCCAAGAGACCCAAGTCCAAATCCTTGGAGATGAAACCCTCTTCTTCTTCAAGTTTTAAAACCCTCTCAAACTAAGAGAAAAAGTACTAAAAATTATAGTAATTGTTTCACACTGAAAATCTTGTGATACTAAAATCTGATTACTAAGCTATAACTCTCAACGAGTATTTATAGTTTTCAAAGATTTGTGTTGCAGCGGACCATTCGGCGACATTAGTTGGAATCGCCGATCAGCTCGATGATTCACCCTTTGGTGTAATTCATCGTCGTCTTGCACCATCATTCGGCATCGTCGTGCTCTGGGTCATTGGGCGACATAGTACTTCTTCGCAGAACTTCTTGGCGATGCGCCGACTGCTCCCTTTTTTTGTCGACTTGATCCTTTCCTTCAGGCTTATCACACTGGAACAAAAGGCGAAGTGAAACCCTTCGGCGACTCGCCAAGTGGACTCGGCGATCCTCAGGCCATCATTTTCTCGTTCTTTTCACTCTTTTCGTTCCTTTTTGTGAAGTAGTATCCATGCTTTCCTTCAAATTTCAAATACTTGAAACTTAAGGGTTTTCATCAGATATTGAGAAAAAATAGAATTTGAGGACACAATTTCTATTAAAATATTGCCCTAAATAAGTCCAATTTGTGGACTCATCAACACCCCCAACTTAAACGTTTGCTTGTACTCAAGCAAAACTCAAGTTCAGCAGTTCAAATAGGATGTCTCAAATAGTGCTACACAAGACTAAATCATGAACATACGCAACAAGACTCAAATTACTCATGCAAAGGTCAATTGTGTACTCAAAGATTCAAGTTGTGACACACCATTACCAAAGATTCTCATGCTCGTAATACCTGCTACTTGTGCAAGTTCAAGCTCAACAAAAAGTATCTAAATGCCCTCACATAAAGAATGATTCCATATTCACACACAGAGATTAATCGATTCAACATTAGGAATCAGATGCAACGCTCACACTCAAAAAGAGGAGCACAATGCATGTTTTCACCCATAGGCTTGCCCTTATTTTCCAATCGATATACG